CTGCCAGAATCTATAATTTTTTTGTTTTTTATGTGATCTACTGTGCAGTGGTCGGCGGTGGTGGGGGCAATGTGATTGTGCAGACATTTTGGTTTTTGTTTCTGTTGATGAGGTTGGAGTTGGCTGCGATGGTGAGGTTGTGATGACATCAATTTTTTTTTAGGGGGAGGGGGGGTTAGGTAGTGGTGGATGGTGGTGCAGTTGTTGGTTGTTGTGATGGTTTTTGTGGTGTTGGTGGTTAGGTGGCGATTTGACTGTGGAGGTAGCGATAGTTTCAGTGGTGGCTTTGGTGTTTTGTTGGTAGTGGTTTGTGATATTGGCTGCTGCGACAAGGTGGTGGTGGTGCTATTGGTTTTGGAGACAACGGTGGTGATGTTGGTGTTGGATGCAGTGGTGGCTGTGGGTTTGGTGGTTGTAGTGGCGGTGATGTTTGTTGGTGATGGTTTTTGGTGGCGGTAGAGGTGGTTGTTGGTGGTGTGATGGTGGCGTCGTCGGCCATCGTGTAAGGGTGGTCGCAAGTGGCGATGGAGACATTGGAGGTGGTGTTGGTATGTAACCCAGTAGTTGACCTGTGACCAACCAGTTAGTTACTGGGACCCTTAAAATTCGAATGGTAACTCACAGTTAATTAAGTTGTGATTGAAAAATTAATCTGTGACCTATAAAATTTTTTATATGTAACCAAGAAAAATGTTGATTTTGTGATCCGTGGCCAATAAAATAATCTGTGACCTATAAAATTATTGATTTGTGACCTCGAAATAATCAGTGACTTATAAAATTTTCGATTCGTGACCAAGAAATAATCTGTGACCTATAAAATTTACAAATCAATATAGACAGGGTCACGGATCTATATTATCAATTAATTTGATAGCTATGACCATATTGTATAGAACTGTGGTTAATTATTTTGTCGTTAAGATCACAGTCACAGGTTTGTGGTCACAGATCACAGTCACAGTCGTTAAGGTCACAGATCATAGTCACATGTTAATTATAGGTCACAAATCAATATAAACGAGTCACAGATCAATATTAACAGGTTACATGTTGTTTTGTAGAGTTACGGTTCGGAGCAGTCGCCGGAGTTGGAACAATTGTCGGAATCAGAGCAATCGTCGGAATAAATCGACTGCGGAACGGTCACCGAAATAATTGACGGAATCAGAGAGTCACCGAAATGATCGTCGGAATCGGAGTAGTCGCCGAAACGGTCGTCGAAGCTGCAGTGGTGGTGGAGGTAGGGTGAGTTAAGTATATATAGTGTATGTATATGTCAAATATCTGATTTTAGAAATTTCAAAGTTGTTTTCTTATTTTTGAAATAGTTTGTAGGGTAAATCTGACAAATGAATTTTTCCCTTATATTTTTTATTTCAAATGTGAGATATTTACATAAATAATAAATAAATATAAAATATACATTTACCAAATTTAAGTTC